ATTTCAACACCTTTCTCCTCCAATCCGCCTGTACAACGAGTTTCAACTGTGACACAAAGGTTAACCGAATCTGCTTGTTAGACCAGTCTTGGTTTTCAAAGACGCAACTGTTCCTGCTTGCCTAGATTACATGGAACGCCACTGCTCTTAAAGATTGCGCAACATAGCCCCAACCCTTGGAGATATTCAAGTGGTCTCGAATGCCCCCTAGTAGCGACCAACTCTTGGACCACTGAATTGGGGACCCTGACATACGATCCTATTGTTTGATGACCCAGCGCCATATTCGACTAGCCGCTGGGCAATCCCACCATAGATGTACTGTTGATTCGAAGGCCCATTGACACCGTTTGCAGCTTAACTCCATTTGTACACCATGTTCTGCAAGCCACACTGCAGATGGTGTTGCCACCAATGATACCAGCCACAATAGTGAGGCATGTCTTTGATTAGTGATAACCTTCAGTTCTTTCCAACAGCTTAATAGATTATCCTCTATACCTTCAGGGTCCAACTCAATCAACTGAGCCCATATATTCCTAGCAACTACCAAGGGGTGCTTCACTGGAGGGATAAGAGTGTATCCCAATTGGAGGGAGTACTCTGTTAATGGAATGTTTTGGCCCCCTTGGCCTCTTGCTCTCCACTCCCACCTTGTTGGATCTATTTTCAGATGAGCAAGTGGTTTCGCGTTTGCTAAGACCGTCCAGTCCATGGTACCATTGAGGTCCAACTGTTCGAATACTCTTACCTGACTTGGCACTATGTGGAGGCTTGGTTGGTCATTCGTTTCGCTAAGAGTGAGGGACATATCTGGTGAACAATCTCAGGTCTGAAAGATATGCTTACCTCCACTTTCGATTGAAATCAGCTTCCATAATCTAGTCTTATCTAACGAGCTATTTATATACCATGTCCCTGGAGGGTCTGCTAATACTGCGAACATCAAATATTTTCATCTCTCTAGGACTGCAGAGGTGATTGCATCTCTTCTATCCTGTAAGAACCAGACCGCCCCTAGTGTGGATCGGAGGGCTTTCGCAGACTTCCATGATCCAGTTAAGTCATCCCAAATGTCGCTTATTCTTACAATACCGTTCTCAATCCAGGAACGTTCAAAACTTGCCGCCGCTGAATCTGCTGAAAACCAGTTGCCATCTGAGTGTTTGATCATTGAATTTTCGAATAGTGGTTGTAACAGAACTTCAGATTTGGTGACTGGTTCCACCCATGAGTCAGGCCTGATTTTTCTCCAGACCTTGATTACTGCCCGCCAGAACTGTGACTTAATCAATCTGTGTTGGTAGGAGTGAAGCATCAAACGGGTCCAAACATAGGATGAACGAGTAAGATTCCACTCCCTGGACAGTATCTGTTCCGCCGGGATGGTCCAGTGGTGCCCCTGGGATCCGTAATGGCTTTGATTACCCATCTAGTCAGATATGAACTGTTTTGTTTAGACGGGTCCTTTATGCCCAGGCCTCCTTCTTCACGAGGGAGGCATAGCATTTCTCATGCCACTTTCGAAAGGAAGCCATCGGCTTCTTCCGAGTATGGCTTCCAAATGAACTTCGCGGCTCTTCTTTTGACACATGAGTTCAGGTGATCACCGAATTGATGAACTGTTCCCACAAACCATAGCAAGGCGAGCAGTGCCCCATTTACAACCATTACTCTCCCAAAGAGGGAAAGATGCAGGGCTCTACCCCATGTAACAGCCCTGTGAAGTAGTTTTTGCAAGAGGATGTCCTCATGGCTGTCTGAACAATCTTCCAAGGCAATTTGGACGCCAAGGAAACGCTCTGAGTCTGAGCCTTTGAGCCTCTTCATTCCCCACTCCATAATCGGTTGATAGTTCTCGTGCAAAAAAAAGAGGGATTTATGCCAGTTGACGGAAGCTTCCGACAAATCCGTGTATTCATCAAGGCAATCTTTAAGAGCAGATATTGAGGAAAACGAATTTTCAATAACTGCAAATAAATTGTCCGCGAGAGCCTTAACTTTGTATTCTGATTGATTTACTGGCATACCTCGAATCTCAGGGTTCTCACGAATGTTATTGAGCAAACCCTCAAGTTGGAGCGCAAAAAGCAGGGGAGCCAGAGGGCAACCCTGTCTCAGAGAGCGAGTCAATGAAAAACTTTGTGAGACTTCACCATTCACGATCACGAATGTTGTGGACAAGGTATACAAACCCTTAACCCATGTACAAAAGTTGACACCAAAATCCATCCACTTTAATGTGGTCAAAACGTACGACAAATTAACTCGGTCGTACGCTTTCTCCAGGTCAAGCAGAAGGACCGAGAGGTTTAGCTGTTCGGATTGGATAATCTCCAGCGATTTTATCGCTGTCAAAAATGGATCGTCCTTGGACGAAAGCGGCTTGGTCTGATACGACCAAGTCTGGGAGATACTTGCCTAGGCGTCTTGCCAATACTTTCGCAAGAAGTTTATAAGATACATTGAGAATGGAGATGGGGCGCCAGTTTCTTATCTGAGCCCGGTCTCCCTTCTTGAATAGTAGGGAGATGATACCTTGGCACATATTTTTGGACAAGCGTCCGCCTGATAACATTTCGTTATAAATTTCCACCAGTGGCTCTCCAACTTCGTCCCAAATGGCAATGTACAATTCCACAAGCAAGCAATCATTCCCTGGGGCCTTGCCCTTAGACATCGAATGAAGTGCATCCTTGAAATAAACTGTGGCATAGTCACACAGTTCGATGAGTTGTTTCGCTCTGGGGGCATCCAGATCGAAGGGATGTAACAGTTCTTTCATGGGGAACTTCTAAAAGGACTCCTTTGTCATTCGATCGTTTACAATTACCCTTTTTTTGAGTAAACGTTCAGACCACAGCTATGACCTTTGTTGTTGCATATGGTCCCATTCCAGCATCGGTCGAGCGCGTTCTTTACCCCAGACCAATTCTGAAACTGGATGCTTTCGCATCCTTCCTTCGGCGTATTCGATTCTTTTCTGCACTTTTAGTTCGCCCCGAAATCTGTTAGTAGCCAATATTCTAGAGAAGACATTTAAGAGGTTGGAAAAGATCCCGGTGCGTACGTGCCACCATTGATCCAACGAGTTATATGAGGACCAGGTATCTTTCCAATTTCTCCAAAAGTTTTTCATCCATTCCAACAACCCTTCATCGTGAAGATTTTCGGAATTAAATCTCAATAGACCTTTGCCCCTGTCGGTTTTGGACAGCAGAAACGAAATCAGAACTGGTTTATGATCTGATAATGGTTGGGAAACTTCCTTGGTCTCATCGACCATTTCCCACAGATTAGCTGAAATAAGGTGGAAATATAATCTTCGTTCTGTTATACCAGACGACTCCCTGCAGTTCGAACACCAAGTGAAACCCTCCCTCGTTGGGTGGGATAATCTGAATGGATCTATGAGATCGAGTTCTTCCATAAGTGCCAGCAAGGCCAATTTATCTCTAGGGCATTCCCCCAATTGGGAGTTCGTCAAGTCCAAGGATGTATTCCAATCTCCAATTAATATTACAACATCTCCTTCCGGAATGACATATGGAAATTCAACGAAGAACGCTGCACGTTCTTTTTTATCAGTTGGAGCATAAATAGAGACAATCACCCATTTCTTGTCTGCGATTAACAGTTTAGTCCAAGCCCAGCGGCCCCAAATGTCAAAATAATAATTAATAATTTCACACTCCAAACGCCTATTGACTAAGATTGCTACACCCCCTTTTGAACCTTGCGCGCGGGCCCAAATTTGAGGGTCGTCCCACCAGTTGCCCAAACTCAATATTTTTTCCTCGTTTAGTTTGGTTTCCTGGATGCACATAATTTGGATGTTTTTTTCGAACATCCACAATTTTAATCTTTCTTTCCGTGCCTACCGGAGGTATCACCCAAACCGCGCATATTCTATGTGGCAATCTTTAGTCTAGACATTTCCGGGGTTCGTTCCTCCCATTGATTGGACACGAGGACTCACAGGAGTCCCCCCTTAGGAGGGAGTCGGGCGGTTTAACCATAACTTTGTCAGAGCCGTTCGCATGAAAAGAGACGCCAATTTCTTCTCTCTTGGCAGTTTTGCATTAATTTCAGTCATAAACTCAGCTGAACCAAATGGAGGAACACTGATTTGGCTTAGTTCTAGACGGGAACCCTCACTAAACCAAGCCAGAGGAAGAAGGCGTAAGCCTTCCGCTTCTAAGATCTCCAACTGGCCTTGCGCAAAGCGAACGTCCAGAATGGGAATGAAGAACTCGATCTTTTTTCCATTCCCTTCCGGTGCGTTTACGATTACACGAGGAATTAATTCCTCAGCCACGAAACGAAACAGAAATTTGTCACGAGTCGTTGTTCGGATCAACGTAAGAATAAAGGAAGGCATTGGAAAGTCAAAAGAATTTAAAAGTTCAATCATAGGACGACCGTCTAAACCTATCCATGCCACAACCCATGGGGTATTCCTGACAAAACAGCATAAGAGAGGTAATATTCGACGTTCGATGTTCTGGATTATCGCTAGTGATACCGCCGCTCTTCGTCTCGTCGTTTTCGTTCCGGGGGTACCAACTTCCCTAATCTGGCCTTGTGAATCTTCAGACTCGTGGAGGGAGAGATCTGACTTCTCACGTGGGAGGATTGCGTGTCCTCCAATGATTGAGTCGAAGCTCAATCTTCTCTGTTTGCTGGCTGTCTTCTTCGTGGATGAGACGTCTTTGAGCGGGAATATCCCCGATTGATGAGCCCCGTTGTAATTCAATGCTTGTTCTTGATGTGTCAATGGTACTCCTGGGTCTCTCCTTACAGTCAGGCCTGGGCCCGTCGGCTGTTGTTGATATGAAGCCGCTGGTCCCCAAGGTACAGCTGGCACTGGTCCTCCCATCCCATGTGGGATGGGCTGTACGATGTTCTGCCCACCTATCGGTTGTAATGCTTGTGCATTCCATGGTCCAAATGGGGGATGTCCCCATGGCATAAAACCATTGAAGCCTGGTTGTAGCTGAAATTGGAGTACGCTGGCTTGTTGTTGTTGAATACCGGAGTTATTACGTGGGCGTGGAGAGAAGGTAGGATTCAAGGCACTGAAGTAAGGTTGAAACCCTTGCGGATGTGGCTGGGGCTCCTGCCTTGGTCCAACTGTTGGAGAAGAAGCTCCCGGGGAAGCCATATGACCCTGATACGGAGGTCTTGACGATGCCTATTGGCCCGCTGTTGAATCTTGTTGCTGCTGTCTCGTTCTCCTTTTTCATCGACATAGTATCCTCCGTGTGGAAGAAAGCGCGGCATCTTCTACATCTTGGTGTGTCCGAGGATGCCAGCTTGACCTCCAGTTGATCGCCTTCGAATGTTTCCACCCATATCACATCTTTCATGTTTGCACGTGCCGCCGGGTCAACATCGAATTTGATGTTGACCAATGACGGTTTTAGCCTGTCCGGCTCCGTTGGATGACGTCGAACAATCGGGCCAATCGCCTTTTGGATATGAGCATCTACGAACAACATCGCATCCAGCGGGACTTGTACAACAATCACCCAAAAGGTTAGTTGATATTCTTCTCTCCTTTGCTCCTTCAACTGTGCCTTGGTCATCCAAGGTTTGAATTCCAGCTTGTATGTCGTTGAACCTAGTATCAGTTCGTTGTGCTCCTTGTTCACCAGCCACATTGCGATAATGTTGCTTTTTGCGACGTAGGAGACAACGTTCGGGCTCTCCATCTTGACCCTTCCTCTTCTGAATCCATCTCTCTCGAAGCTGCCTTCCTGAATCTTGTTGTCTTCGTATGCTCTGACAATATCATCCTTCACTTTCTTCGGTAGGAACCGCGCGCCCTCTCTAAACATAATCGTGACCGTGTGTTCTTTGAGCCAAGCCACTTTTGCTTGGTCAATGACCACGTTCACTTTAAATCTTGCCTCCCTGTCTTGAATCGTCATTTCCCCTGGGTCAATATCCGGGGGAATGAATCCTTCTTCATAATATAGTCTAATCAGCTCCTTAACACGCTGTTCTTTATCTCGATTGCCTCTTGGATCCGGAGGCGGTGATCTCGCTTCTCGTTGCATTACTACTTCTTCTACCATTCTTCACCCACTTCGACTGGGTCCTAACCTTTAGCTTGAACCGTACGATATCAAACCCTACACCTTCTACGAGCGAAGGTGCCACAAGGACTATGTGAGGGACCTCTTGGATACTCACTGTGGCTAGCTACAACTCCCTCCCAAGAGTACAGAGTCGGGGCCTCGATCAAAGCAAGGCAGCATCCATAGCCCCCATCCACTGAGTCGCTATCATGACGGTAGCGCCCTCTGCTGAGTACAGCTCTGTTACCGGTCCGCTAGCGCTTGGTCCGAACGCCATAGCGATGGCGGAAACGCTCCGGTTGGTCCCCCCCCACCCTCATTTTGGCTGTCGCCCGAGGACATTTCCTAAGCCTGATGTCAGAAAAAAAAAGGGAAAAAACAGTTGTGCTTCAGGCCTTCAGCCAATAGGGTGCCGCCACGATCCACAGCTGTAACGTCTATTTACCCGTGTGCCCTCTTCTCTCCGTGAAACGTGGATTCCTTGTGTCCATTGGGCACAAGGAAGAAATGGCCGGGGCCACAAGGATGCCACAAGGAATTTTCCTTGTGCCGTTTTCACATTTCTTTTTCAATTTCGTCCCCAAGGACAGGTGGAACTTGTTGATTTCACGTCCCCAAGGAGTGTCTAACGAGGCCCTATGTCCATAATTTTTTGCATTCCGGTATTTGGGTATAACTGCAATTTTTGCGGTGCCAACCTGGGTCTACCTTGTCCAGGGCATGCAAATAATTTCCAAGGGCAGTTTTTCTGCGTACAGGTGCAAGCTGGCGCTAGAACTGGGCATAGCGGGTACTCCCATCTTTGAAGTGGGGTACGGATGCAACTATGCAGGATCCCCGAAATTCGATTTTCTCTGATGAGCGACGGATCTGAGGGCCTACAGACTCTAGCACTTCTCTAAATGTATCTAACCGTAGTACTGACCGCGATTCCGGCCCGGCTTGGACGCATCTGACCGCGATCACGTCCACAGCTCCGTTGAAAAAGTCATAGGGCGAGCACGCCCCAACACACGGCCAGACCTCGGTCACAGCCAAAACGCTCTGTAAAACCTCCACGCTTTCGAGTTCCGTTTCTTATAAGCGCCCTCGGGGTGATGACGTCGGCCCATAATTCCTAACTAGCAACGGAGCGCACGCGCGAGGGAACGAACGAGAGAGAGACACACAGAGAGAGAGAGAGAGAGAGAGAGAGAGAGAGAGAGAGAGAGAGAGAGAGAGAGGATTCCTTCAGTTGCATGAGGCGGAAGGCAAGGACGAAGAGGTGAACAGGTGAGCCTATCGTCACCCGTGATCATGCAGTTTATTTCACGTGCCATCGTTTGTCTTTCTGACTGTCTTCTTCTCACGTTCCTAGTACTGCTGAAGTTCGAGCTTAAGGTAAATGCAGCTAGAGAAGGAAGCCATGCATGCATGTATCGTTTATAATCTCTTTCTTTTTTTTCTTTCTTTCTTTCTTTCTGTTTTTCTTGAATTACTGAAACATCATGTGTCATTTGTAGTGTAGGAAGCCTGGTCGGAAGCCAAGCCAGGTCTCTTCTCATCTTTGCTCTTCTCCTCTTCTCCTCTTCTCCTCTCCTGCATCTCGTGTGTCATGCCCGCTTGTCCGGTCTCTTTGTTCTCCTTGAGAGAGGATAAGGCCAAACAAGCACACAAGCCGACAGACAGACGGACAGAAAGACAGATTAACTCTGCGCGCGCGCGTGTTTGTGTGTGTGTGTGTGTGTGTGTGTGTGTGTGTGTGTGTGTGTGTGTGTGTGTGTGTGTG